TGCAAATATAAAATTTTGCCGGAACTCCTTAAAGCTTTAGAATTTGGTTCAGGTAAATAAAATTATGATAACTGAGTTTGAATGTTTTATTTGCTACCACTTTTCGTATTTATCATTTTCCTTGCTTAGGTGGTGCAAAAGTGCTACCTTCTATAATAAAGATCGGTGAAACTCTTGATGATAATGAATATGAAGAATTTATAGTGACATCTATTGTAAAAATGTTTGCTGTACCTGATCGAACTATGCGTCTGAGTTTGTTAGAAAATTTGGGCTCGTTTATTGATCATTTAGACAATAAAACGATCAATGAGAAAGTATTTCCCCATGTGGTAGGAACTTTTCCTTAAAATGGATTATTGCTTGATGATCTTAATTAATATTCGTACAGGCAACAGGATTTACAGATACCGTACCAATTATCAGAGAGAGTACTGTAAAATCAGTTCTTTTGCTCGCTCCAAAGGTATTACGGAATTCAACAGTGTGACAATTGTTTATAAATGATATTGTTATATTAATGGATTTTTCCATGAATAATAGTTGACCGATCGCGTTATAAACAACGATTTGTTGCGCTATTTGGCAAAGTTGCAAATGGACGAAATGCCTGGTATTCGAACAAATACTACTATTTGCTTAGGCAAGATTAGCAAATACCTGAGTGACAGCGTAAGTTTGTAAAGTTAAATACTTTTGTATAAATACTTCTCAATGCTTAGCTTGTAAATAGTGATGTATTATTTATATGTTAATATATATTAATATAGACAAAAAAAAAAGTATTAGCGACTGCATTTACAAGGGCACTGAGAGACCCGTTTCCCCATGCTAGAGCGGCAAGTTTGATGGCTCTGACAGGTAGTTAATATTTAAGATTTTGAATTCCTTTAACACTATGTTATCAAACGGTTTGTTTATTGATAATTGTCACATTATTTTATCATTTATTACATCACGTAATAAATATATAATATAAGGATGCGCAATTACCAATGAACAAACAACATCGCTTTAACACGTTAAGGTGTAGTGTTTACATACTTTACTATTATACAATTATAGCAACACTAGATTATTATGATGCAACCGATTGTGCAACCCGAATATTGCCTTGTGTGTCAGTAGTTTTGGTTGATAAAGAGAAGTATGTTGAATATATAATATTTAATTGAAAATTGAATTTGTTATTCGAATTGTAAAGACGTTCGATTTCTCTCTATATGTATAGACCAGTACGCATTCAAGCTTTCAAATCGCTTGATGCAATTGTCAAACGGTTAGAAAAATTGGTTGAATCAATGGTATCTGTAAAATTAAACATTTTATGTGTATGTTCCTAATTTAATGATTTGTAAAACTAATTCTTATGATGTATTATTAGCCCGATTCAGCCATCATACCTGAACAAAATTCGGCAGGAAACGGCGATACTTCGTTATCGACATCAGTTGCAGGTAGCATGGTTAGTGTTGCCGAAAGTTGGACTGGATGGGCTGTTACATCGTTGACTAAAAAGGTAAAGATGCAAAAATCACTACATTAGTGTATCTTTTTTTTTTTTTTTCATAGTTTGATATATCTAATAGTATATATGTTATTTATGAATGGAAAAGATCGCTGGGGTAAGTGTTGAAGGCGAAATTGCTGCAGCACCTACAAACAATAAGATCACCGGAGTAAATGGTGAAGACGAAATTGTAACAACACCTACAAACAGCAAGATCACTGGGTTAAATTTTGAAGGCGAAATTATAACAGAACCTACGAACAGTACAAATGATAGCATTGCCATTTTCAACCATTTTAAAAACCATGATAAATAAAAACCAAGAAAATTTAATAAAGCAATTTATTTTTATGCT